TTCTATATAAATAAAACACTGATGGCCAGTGACCAGGCAGGCAGTAGGTGGCCAGGCAGGAAGTAGGTGGGACAAGGAGAGAGGAGAATTCTGGGAAGCGGAAGGCTAAGGCGGGAGACACTGCAGCCACTGCCAGGACAAGCAGCATGTAAAGACTCTGGTAAGCCACCAGCCATGTGGCAAGTTATAGATTTATAAAAATGGGTTAATTTAAGATAAAAGAACAGTTAGCAAGAAGCCTGCCATGGCCATACAGTTTATAAGTGATATAAGCATCTGAGTGATTATTTTATAAGTGGATTGTGGGACTGCGGGGCTTGGGGAACCTGGAGAGAAGCCCTCCGGCAACACACAAGAACATCTATAACTTCCAGCCAGAGCTTTCAGTGTGAGCCAGTAGCTCCTTCGGCCATCTCACTCACCTACTGGCACTTGTTCCTAGCCTGTGTCAACCTCTTCCTCAGGCACAAACACTGCCTGGCCCACTGCTGTTTCCATCCTAAACTGAACACAGTTTTTTAAAATTTTCTTTGAAGAAGCAGTATCCAGACGTCCCTCCCCACGACTTCTGCTGGCCTTTACTTTTGTGTATCATATTCCCTTCTGAGCCTTTTCCTCTAGGGCACAGATGAGCCAGGTTTTGCAGGGGGTGGACTCTGTGCTCAATGCATTGGCAAGTCAGGCACCCAGATGACCCTGATGTCTTTCCCCTGAGCAAGGGATAAACACCATGGATATCACCCTGGGTTTGCTTCTGATCAAAGAGATCATCAGGGTTTCCTAAGCCATTGGGTAGTTGTTCCCTAGCTTATTTCTTGAGGACCAGTGGTCCTTGTGCTCATGAATGCCTGTGATTTGTTAACTAGGTAGTGTTTGGTGCCTAGGAGACAAGTTTGGTGTGTTAATCAGTGTTTGCATTTTTAGAAAATCTCTAGATATCCTCAGATTGGAATCTATGGCCTTCCCTTTTAAATGGCTACCAGTTTCATGAAAGAGAAAATATTTAACAAGCTAGCAATATTGAGCACTAGCTCAGGAGACATTTCATCCCTTTAATGTCATTGCTCCATGTCTGAATTGCCCTGATGGTTGATGTTTCTTATGCTTGGTTTATGACTGTTCTTTGTAAGCCCCTACTGATTTATTCACATTTTTAAGAGACCCAAGACTAGAAAAACTGGAGACACATCACACTGTTTTAGGGATTTTGTCTGTTGTCTAAATCCTGTGAAATAAATACATCAAATGAAAAATAGCTGCTCCTTGTTATAAGTAAACAACTGTGGACATCTGGGGTTTTGGAAGTAAGCCTGCCCCCTCCAGGCTAGTCAGATCAGTCCAAGTGCTTGTGTTGATGAATTGCTGTCCCCTATAAAGACAAAAGGTGATAGTTATGGTCAGAAGTGCAAGGTTATTACTGGAAATGGGTAGGGAGTGAACTGTACAAGGAGTAAGTTCTCTGGGGAGCAGATTTTCAAGAACTGCTTCTCCCATCCAGAGAGGAGGAGGTAATTCTCCCTGTCATGAAAAAAAAATGTCTTAAGTCTTGTCTGGGACAGAATGGGTGTGTGGGCTCTTGAACCTAGTTAGCCTCAGGGAGGAAATATGTGAAGTGCTTTGTTGCAGGTGTATTACAGTACTTCTAGTAAAGTACTCATGGCTGCTAGTAGCACTCAGATTTAATAAAGCATTGCACTGTACACAGTCCTGGTCCCTTTCTTGTGTACTGATCCTTTTTCCTTCTTGCAGCACTCCAGTTATCCCAGCACAACTTGTCCAGGATGATGATGCAGATTAAGCCAGTCTTGAAAAGGCAGAATTGGTGAAACACTCTTGGAAGAGGTAAGGAAACCTTTTTTGATAACATGAAAATTAATTTCCTCTCATCAGGGTTGAGGAAGTGGCATCTTTGCTGCTATGGATGCAGTAGATGCCCTATGCCTGGGAGGACTGTGTGCCTGTGCTGGTCTGGGATGGGTAAGGGGACACGGGAGTGTAGGCTACAGCTCTCCTCTTTTGTGATCTGAGCATATTGAAGGAGTGTTTCTTCCAGATGATGGCTTTGTTCTTGCCAAGCTGTCCCTAGAATGGATCTGACTTCTGAGACTGGAGGTGAGTCAGAGAATAAAGGTGTGGAGGATGTGACCCTGTGGTTCCTTAAATAGGTGACAAACCAGAGTTTTTTAAAGTTCAACAGATTAATCAGCAGAGTAGAGGTTTCAGCTAGTCTATGCATTTACTGATTTTTTGTTGTTGTTTTTGCAGTGCTGAGGTTTAAACTGAGGCTTTGTGAATGTTAGGTAAGTATTCTTCTGTTAAGTTGTATTCTCAGGCCACCACAGGAAAATTTTAATACATTTTTCAATTGAAAACAATTCTCAAGTCTTTGGCTCTGCTGTGTGGTGTTTTAACTGAGAATGGCCCATGTAGCCTCATTTTTCATATTTCAATGCTTGGGCCATAGCTGGTGCGACTGTTTGGAGAGGGTTAGGAAGTGTGACGCTGTGGGAGAAGGTGTGTCACTGGGAGCAGGCTTTGAGGTTTCAAAAGCCCATGTAATTCTCAGTCAGTTCTCTGTGCCTCCTGCTTGTGAACCAAGTTGATACAAGCTTTCAGTTACTGTTTCAGCACATGCCTATCTGCTGCCATGCTCACCACATGGTGGTCACAGAACCACAAGCCCTGAATTAAATGGTTTATTTTATAATCTGCCTTGGTTCAAGTATCTTGTCATAGCAATGGAAAAGAAACTAAGACAGTGGCTTAAGACACTTACCACCAAGCTTGATGTCCTGAGTTTGATACCTAAAACTCAGAGGTAGATGGAGAGAACCAACTCCCATGAATTGTCTTCAGACCTCCATTCATGCCCCATTACATGCATGCCCAAATATATTAAATAAATAAATTTTAAAAAGAAATATAAAAAAGCCTTATGGCCTGCAGGGAATTAGACCATTGAGAATTAGCATTTGAATAATTAATCTTTTAACTATAGAGCTAATGACTACTTAAATATAGTTCATTTAGATTTCTCAGTAATATTTATTTTTTTCCTTTTATTTTATTTTAGAATACCATTCAGTTCTACATATCAGCCACGGGTTCCCCTGTTCTCCCCCCTCCCACACCCTCCCCTTACCCTCAGCTTATACCCCCATTCCCACCTCCTCCAGGGCAAAGCCTCCCCCGAGGACTGAGATCGACCTGGTAGACTCAGTCCAGGCAGGTCCAGTCCCCTCCTCCCAGACTGAGCCAAGCATCCCTGCATAAGCTCCAGGTTTCAAACAGCCAACTTATGCAATGAGCACAGGACTCGGTCCCACTGCCTAGTTGCTTCCCAAACAGATCAAG